AGATGTGTATAAGAGGCCCTGCCAAGGATGTGTGTGCTGTGCCTTGGTTACGAAGCGCTTTAATTTGATTTGCCGCTGACGCTGTTGATTGGTTAACATACCTTCAACAGTCTGCGCGTACTCATTTACGCAACACACGTACGCCAGTACGCAAGTTCGTACGTACGTCATGTCCCAAAATGTAAACACGGAAATTGTTAGATATTATAGTAACCTCTGTAATATTTAAATTCAGGGTAGATGGATCTACAACAATAATTCAATTTTAATTTTAAATACAATGATAGGTACGATTAATTGACAAATAGTGAGGCCTGCCCAGTGAGTGCCGACCCAGCTGAGACTCAGGAGTCGGAAAAAAAAGTATGTGATCTTACATCAATAGGCCCTATATAGGAATAGGCCTATTATTATATTTTCTTACCTAAAAACACCAATTAAAATTTTATAGCTAATACAATAAAACAAATTTATTTGCAAATAGTGTAAAATAATTGTTGATATTTTAAAAAGTATAATAATGACTCTGATAATTGATTTATTTGAAATAGGCCTACTATTCTACTCTCTTCATATAAAAAAAATGTTGGAAATCACGTAAATTCAGGATTTGGTGCCGAATTAGTGTATAATGCCTGTATAATGCCTTGTCTTCTGGTGAATAGCATGGACGGGGGTGACAGGCGACACGTACCCCAACTATTTTAAGGGGGTGGTCCCCATCACGTTCCTAAGGAAGTCAAGAATATACCTGGAAATTGTAGAATTGAACTGCATAAATGACCAGATTTTAACGAAAGACCACTTTACAGGCAGATAACATCTTATTTTATAACAAAATACCGGTGTTTTATGTCCACAAACATCTGAATTAACTGTAATACATGACTCGAGTGCGTGTTTATTATACAAGTATGATAAAAAGTGTGTAAAGATAAATTGGTTTTCGGCTCATGAAATAGGTAAAGTAGATAAATCGAAGACAATTATGTTGTTATATTTCTATTATCGCAGCGATTCATATTATATACAAGATACAAGATAGCTTTATTGTCAAATTAAAATATGAAATTAGTTTTTTCTCATGGCAACAAAAGTACATAAACAACAGAGAAACATACGATCAATGATTATTAATTTTACATCACATGTACAGTATTAATTAGATCTCTATGTTTTCCGAAAATCGTTAATAAGATATCATGAGAAATTTGTTGACGCTTTATTTTGCCTGGTGATGTGATGATGATGAATTTTACTACTGTATATAAAAGTGTCTTCCCATCTAGGTACTATTTTATATTTCTTTTTTACCTCAGTCCCAACCATGTACGGCTGAAGTAGAGCTAAGAAAATGTATGATTACTGCACCTGTAGACAAAAATTTGAATATATTATTTTTTTCTCAATATTTTTTGAAATTTTAAAAAGGCCCCCACCCCCTAAATTGGCTACTGCTATCGATCGAATATGGAGAAAGAAATCTTGTTTGTTTTTACTCAGTGTACCAGCTGATTATAACTCAAAGAAAATACCGATAGCCATGACTGAATTTTACTGAATGAACTTTAATATGGTTGGCAATGGTGGTGGGGAGTGG